TTGAGTGTAGACACGTGAGTGACTCATGTTGTTGCGTTTCCAGCGTCGATTGTGAGTAGTCTAGTTCACTACGTAAATGCAGTTATGATTTCTTAACTAGCGGTATAACCCGCTCAAGAATTCCATTAATTATTCATACTGCATGCATCTAGGCAGGACAAATCACCGATCTGACCTTGGCTGTGTTGTGTATTTCCGCGAGCAGCTACGGCGGATCCGTGGCATATAGCATAAGTGAGCGTACTGCCAGCCATGAGCTCGTCATTCGATGTGGGTTTGTGGTCACATTACATGACTATATTGTGCTGCATGGTCTGATCACATAAGCGGTCATAATACCAACTTCGGGACCGCTGCGCCAACGGTCGAGTTGATCCATTTCCCCGATCGCATCCAGTTTAGGATTCGCCTGTTATCCACGCTCCCGCCCGGCCCGTGTCGGCCGTTACTCCCGGTTTGATCCATATCCCCGCAGCATTCAGGTGAACACATGCGTTTCGATATGACCGTTTAATTTATGCGATGGTCTTCGGTGATGGTCGAAGATATGCATGCCGATATCTCCGGAACTGGTGTGACGTCATTGACAGGTCTTCAGTAATCGTCATGCACGATGTCTGCGGTTGGGTAACTACCTGCAACTGCGTCATTACTGTGCGGTGGACATGGCTTCGTCGCAAGGCAATGCCGGTTACGCTGCCGTTGGGCGTAACAGAACCAGTGGCGTGAGTGTGTGTGTGTGGGGGGGGGGGGGGGATATGGAGCAATAACAGGACGACGTGCAAGAAGCAAACGTTGAGGGTCGGATGCCTCTAGAGCATAGCTACCGAACAAACGGTGCTGTGTAATTATCCGGTGAAACATTTCATTTAGTGAGATGTGTGATCTAGTTAACTGTACCAACTAGTGAAAAGATGACCTAGTAGATTATTTAGTCTGGGAAAATATCAAAGGGAAAGTCGTTTTAGTCCAACTGAATACTGTGTTAGTTGATTTTACAATCGTGCAATAGTCTAGTTCGTGCTCAGCGCTGTTTCCCGTCTAATAGCTAAGGAGAGCGCTGCACTCGAAAATGACGCGTCCAAGAAACTGCCCGGAATTCCCCGCCCGCTACCGACTCTGACAGCGCCTGGTCGTAACGTTGCTGTTTCTCAGAGCTGGGTGCAGAGCCCCAGCTGGTGAATCATTGGTCGGTTTGGGGCATGTGACAGTCACATGCCGGAATGCGTACGGTGCTGTTGTCAAGTAGCCCACCTCAGCCGCGTGTATCTTGCTGTGCACAACAGCTCATCACACAACACGTGTGACCACGTCAAACCGTCTGGTACTACGTCCAATTCTCAAATTGGACTGCGGGTATTATTTTGTCGTGGCTTTTAAAGAAGATGTGTGACATTTGGAGAGGCATCAGATATTAAGAAATGGGCTCAGTTATCACTACTGGTGTACGTCAAGTGGGAAAACTGCTTCAGGCATTGCGGTTCCTCTGTTTAGTAAATATGCTCGTCAATGCTTTAATGTCTGATACCTCTTTGTGTAATGCATAATATTGGCTAAGAGCCAACTGTCGGCCGCTTTATATGCAAATGACGTTCACAAATGACAGAAATGAAAGGCACGACAGTTTATCTCTTTAGCCTCGGTCGCCGCACGGCTAATGGCATGACAAGATTTCAATGACGTTATCATGATATCATGAATGCCTGGGTGACCTTAAAATATTCTCCCGAAAACAGTGTGCACGTCCTCGTCCACGTCCGACGTAAGTCCTCGCGGTCGTTGAGTTAAGAAACTAGAAGGACAGGTCTTGAGATGGGCGGCATTGTGAACCACACCAAATGATCTTGAAGATGGCTCTTTCAGTTCAAAACCACGTACAAATGTGGAACACTATTTTTACGTTAGTCACGAACTGAATTTGATTGTTTTCGAACAAGATTTCAGGTATTTCGGGGGCATGCAAGCCTTACGATCATTCATAGGATTAACTTTGTCCTCAGTGCACTGTCACTATGTTGGTGCACGTTGATAAGATAATCAATGATATCTTTTAAGCCCTACGTAAGTCCTACACTGTCGAAGGCTTTCGTTCGTGCACATATTGCACTCCATGATTTGTAAGAATCATGCAAGCGGTATTTTAGCCTGTGAAATGTAAGCGTATCCTTCCTTAGAACCTGTTAGCCCGTCCTTGTTGGCGCCTCACAAAGTCCAAGCTAAAAGTTGCTCACACCGAGTGAGCACAAAAATGCCTCAAAGAGAAGTTTCCGTTGACAGTTATCGCTACAAAACCACGCATCGTTTGTGTTCCCACTCGGAGCCAGTATTGTTACCAGTGGCTGGCTGCATTTTCATGGACAGCGAACAACCTTCTGATTATCAAAACAGTGTATCACAGCAACGCTCCTCTTTCCTGTGCTTGTTTGTGAAATTTGAAGCGTTTCAGGGAGAGGCTCGCGTAAGTTTGCCTTTACGAAAGACGATAGCATTGTCGCAATGCCAACAGAGCGCCAGAAATGCAACTGACTGTTTATTGTGGTGCCGTGTCGTGGCTGGATGCATCCGAGATTGCATCTCCCGAGCCGAACTTCCCCGTCGGCTTTTGTCTCCGCATCGGGTGGGGGACCCCAGGCCCCGGCTTGTCAAGTATGACGGCACCTAGCGCCTTCCAGGTATATACGGCGTGTCGGCGGCGCCGGCTGACCGCGGAGCCGTACTTCCCGACTGGGTGTCGCCGGCGGCCGCCGCAGCGGCTGAAGCGGCGCTCGTGACGACGTTGGCGGCGTACTCCGCCCGTATATAAGGCGCGGATGGCGGACAGCAGGCACCACTCTTTCTGCCGGTGTCATGTCGCTACTGCGGGCTCTTCTGCTGACAGTCGCCTTGAGTCCGGCTCTGCTCGATGCGTTGGAAAGCGCTGGGCAACAATTTAGAAATGAAGATGGCCTGCAACAAGCTGAAGTTTCTAATGGCATCGAGGTGCTCCCTAGCGAGCGGCAGACCAAGTGGACGTTCATCGCGCTACTGGGGGCCCGCCAGCCGGACGGCTCGGTCCGCTGGCTGTGCGGCGGCTCACTGCTCAGCTCGCGCCACGTGCTGACGGCGGCCCACTGTCTGGTCAGCGTGGCGCCCAGTCAGCTGGTGGTGCGGCTCGGTGAGACCCAGCTCGACACCACAGCCGACGGCCAGCACGCCGATCGGGACGTGCTGCGCGTCGTCGTGCACCCGGAGCGTGTCGGTCATAAGAACGACCTGGCCATGCTGACGCTGTCGGCGGCCGTGAGACAGCAGCCGGCACAGCTGGGCTGGGTGCGGCCCGGCCAGCGCGCCACCGTCGCCGGCTGGGGCGTGACGAGGTTTGCCGGCCGCCCGTCCCGCGTGCTGTTGGAGGCGGACGTGACAGTGACGGATCCGGCCGAATGTGAGCGCCTGCACCTGGACGGCGCCGCGCCCAACTCGCTCGTGCGCCAGCTGTACCCGGGCGGCTTCGGTGGCCTTGTGCTGTGTGCAGCCGACCTGACCGGCGGTGGCCGGGACGCGTGTCGCGCCGACTCCGGCGGTCCGCTGGCCGTCGGCCCCGCCGGCCGGCAGCGGCTGGTGGCCGTGGTGTCGGGTGGCCGCGGCTGCGGCGACGCGGACTTGCCCAGCATCTACACCGACCTCAGCAAGTATACCCGCTGGATACAGCAGCAGCTGAGCGACACACCTGTGTTCCATGAAACGTTCCAAAAACCCTTATTTGCACTTTAGCCTATTCGCCTAAGCTTTCTTGGGTCAAAAGGCTGAATCGCAGTCTTCTAGGAAAACAGAAGTACGGGGTTGATTCCCCGCGGTGCCCGCCCTTTCTACCAGGGTGAGAGTTAAGCGACGCCATATGGCCTCGGCAGCTGAGTACGTCGTAAAACTGCAATGTTGACCACCTAAGCTCTCTCAGCAAAGCTTATGCCGCGATGTTGAGCGCGAAAGATTATGTTCGAATGTTATCAGTGCGCGAATTGGTCAATGGATTCGCAGAGGTGTCCATAGTGTCAGCGAGAAGAGTGGCTTTAAGTAGATGTCACGCGCGTCGTGTTAGATGTGATTGTTTCCGCGTTACAACATTCTTACGCAATCGTGCAAGCTGTGCAAGCGTTTCCACGTGGCATTAAGTCTGCAAACACAATAATCAGCATGAAATCACGAAATTACTTTGGTTTATCACCTCACAACATCAGGACCACATCTTATGAACACGCGATATTTGACTGGACTCGGCTCTGAACCCTGGCTCGACACTCCGTCCGGCGATGGAGAACACTTGAGGTAACTGGAAAGACGGGCGAGGCGCACCATGAGTCTGGCTCGGGATCTTGTGGCGCCTTTCGGGGTCCACTCTGGGAGGACCTCAGTGGGACCACAACTTATTCCCCAGTGCGCCCCACGCTGGCGTGGACCGCAACCGACGGCGCCGGCCCCAGCGGTGTTCGGAACACTGGACTGAGTCACTGGGTGGCTCTGTGGTGGCGATAATGTGGTGAAAAACTCTCGCTCGCGCCCACAAAGTCACGGCGCATTGGCTGCGCCAGACTCAGACGGTCGTGTCTGTGACGTCACGCACTGGGATCAAACCAAACCGCGGCGGCATCGGCAGCGCAAAGCCAAAGCTGACACCCAAACGGACGTGAAAGACCCCAAACCACACATCAAACGGCCATCAAACGGTACCACAGCCCCGAGGGGGCCGTGGGCGGGCCGCGGGCCGCGGGCGGGTCGGTGTACCACAGCCCCGAGGCTGCCGACGCGCCGCTGGACTCAGGCGTTCCCAGCTTCAGCTGGCTCAGCTGCTCCAGTTCAGCTGCTTCAGTTCCTGTTGCACACTGCGCCTCTCACATAGAGGACCGTCACCTAAGCTCCTGTTATGAGAGGCTTCACAACGCCTCCAGGACGAGGGCCCGTCATGCGCGCCTCGCTGGCAGGTCAGCACAGTTCACCCCGCCTGGCCGCGTCCCGCCGCCGCGCCACTACGGCCGCTTGCAGTGCGCCTGCTGCTGAGCGTCGATGCGCCGCTGACTGGGCGAGGGTGCCGGTGGCGGCGGCGGCGTCCGGCCCGGCAGCTCGTCAAGCTCCGAGGGCGCTACGATCTGCACCCGCTTGTTGGCCGGCGCGGGTAGGCTGTGCTTGCGCTCGAGACTGGAGGTGTTGGCACGCTGGATGTCGGGCAGGCTGCCGGCCAGCGGCACCGGTGACAGCGGGAACAGCGCCTGGTCCCCCTCCTCCGCCGGCTCCTCCTCCTCCACCTCCGGCAGCTGGCTGGCGGACGCGAACACCTCACTTTCGGGATCCGGCTCTGGCGCCGGCGGCTCTGGTGCCGGCGGCTCGTGCCAGTGACCGCGCTGCTCGTCCCACGAGCGGCTGAGCACGGGTCCGCCGGCCCACGACTGCCGGCTGCGTGCGGCGCCGGCCGGCGCGCGCACCCGCACACTCGGCGCCTGCACGAACACGCTCGGCACGGAGCGACGGTGGCGCTCAGCGGTCGGCGCCGGTGCCGCCGCCGCCACGTCTCGCCACGCCACCCGCTCGCCCTCGCCGTTGAGAAGACAGGTGACCTCCGGCCGGCCGCCGCCGGCGCTGACGGCCTCGGCCAGACTCTGCTCGCTGGCGGCCGGCGGTACGTACGGGTGCCAGATGACCTCGGCGCGCTGGCGGCGCCGCCAGCGCGCCGGGATGAGGTGCGGCGACTGCCAGGAGACGGAGCGCTTGGGCAGCCGGCGCTCGGCGCGGTTCGGCGCCGACATGGAGGTGTGGCGCTCCACCGCGCCGCCGCTCGGCGCCAGGCAGTGGCGCCGCAGCACTGCCTCGTCGCTCGTCGAGCTGGTGGCCGAAAGCTGCGGTTCTAGTTTTGGTCGACAGGTGGCAGGGCGGTCAGCTTGCGCAGCAGCCTCCGGGCCCGTGTGATCCAGCCTTCGGTTTGATCTGTGGTGGCGGATGTGGTTGTTGACATTCGAAACATGGCATCAGGCGACTCGTGAAGGAGAACGCGACGGCTTGCAGATCTGTGATGTCACGGGACTGACCGGATGGGGCGAAAATATACCACCACCACCCGCCAACTGCTACCCGCTGGTTGCTCCCACAGCGTACTGAACTGGAATGGGCGTATTTGGCGACAGAACATGAAATTATTTGGATGCAGCAGGCACTATGGCTGCTAATAGATGAGATGTTCAACTTTGGCATCGATGATCAGGCAGAAATAACGACCGATAACCATCGTGCGAACTCTATGCTCGCCTCATGTAAAGCAGTTTGTAACGAAGTGCATGCCTCATAATGCCCCTACATCTTCAGCCCATTTCACACACAGCCGCTCGTACTTGTCACCTACACTAGTATCCTTCCACCACCTGGAAAAAGCGCGCGCAAATCTCACACGCATCGGTTGCTGCCGCGCGTGGGTTAGCCCACGGGCCACCAAGATCACACCAGGCCAGGTCGTGGACTCCACCACCACCACCAGGTGTAGACTCCACTCCAGGACACTTCAGCGCGGTCAGCAGCAGCACAGAGCGGGGCGGCGCGCGGCGGGGGGGTAGAGCGGCTCACCGGCGTGTGGCGGGGTGGGTAGAAGCGGCTGACCGGCGGTCGGGTCGGGGTGGTAGAGCGGGCGCGGGTCGGGGTGGTAGAGCGGCTGAACCGGCGCGGGGTCCGGGGTGGTAGAGCGGTCTGACGCGGCGCGGGTCGGGGTGGTAGAGGCGGCTGACCAGGCGCAGGGTCCGGGGTGGTAGAGCGGCTGACCGGCGCGCGTCGGGGTGGTAGAAGCCGGGCTGACCGGCGGTGGTGGCGGGGTGGTAGAGCGGCTGGACCGGCGCGGGTCGGGGTGTAGAGCGGGCTGACCCGGCGCGGGTCGGGGTGTGTAGAGCGGCTGACCCGGCGCGGGTCGGGGTGGTAGAGCGGGATGACCGGCGCGGGTCCGGGGTGGGTAGAGCGGCTTCACCGGCGTGTGGCGGGTGGTAGAAGCTGGCTGACCGGCGCGGGTCGGGGTGGTATAGCGGCGCGGGTGCGGGGTGGAGAGCGGCTGACCGGCGCGGGTCGTGTGTATACGGCTGAGCGGCGTGTGGCGGGGTGCTGGAGCGGTTGAACCGACGCGGGTCGGGGTGGTGGAGCGGTTGATCGTCGCGGGTCGGGGTGGTAGAGCGGCGCGGGTCGGGGTGGTAGAGCGGCTGAGCGGAGCGGGTCTGGGTGGTAGAGCGGCTGAGCGGCTATGGCGGGCGGGCAGGCGGCGTCTTACCCACAGCTACCTGCTGATTCCGAGTGGCGCTGCGGCCGCATCTTTGACGCCGTGCTGCTGGAGGAGGTGCGACTGCGGTCCGGAGAGCAGCGCCTCGTCCGGCACGCTCACAGCGCCCACGCGCGGGTCACGACCTGGGGGCAGGGGGGCACGCGGGTCAGCAGCGGCCCGACGACCTGTTCGTGGTGCGATCTGGCGCGGCATGGCCTGGTGACGGATGTCAGGGCAGGTCAGCTCACGTCATTTGGCGCGAATGTCGTGGAAAATGGCCGACCACAGCGTGGGACAAGGCAGAGCAGGGGGTGGGGGGGGGGGGGGGGGGGGTCTGCAGACGTCCTCCCGACGCGCCTGTGGCTCTCACCCACGGGCCGCCAACTGAGATTAAGACATTCTGGCTTAGCACGGCAGCCCTTCCATACGCACCGCACCTTCTTTTGTCCACGGACCTATCAGCCCCCAGCAAAAGTATGCGCATGGTATGCAGAGACATTATAGAAAAAACAGAGCACCGTTTTTAATACATTCCTTTGTTCCTGTTTCAAATCGAACCAAAGTGTTACAATATTTAGTTGTACTAGCCCCACATAAATGTGCGAACTGACCATAGCCGAATCAGTAGCTCATTTTTAGCTGTTAGTTAATGACACCTGCTGCAACCATTCGGAATTGCTCGCATCTGGCGCGAGGGTCGTCTCATTCTGGTACGCTGGAGTACCGAACAAAGTTCGGGCACCTATTGAAAAGAGCACGGTTATGAACAGAGGCGGGCAGCGGCGCTGACAAGCCAGTGTATCATCACGCCCTGCTGAGGTAGTCAGACGCTGGCTGAAACACTTCGGAGCCAAGACAGTGCTGGTTTTGTCAGGTAGAATAGCCACCGTGTTGTCTAGACGTGAGCCGAACATATCCTTATTTTTTGGAAATGCTTGCGGCGGACGTTATAAAAAAACACCCGATTCAGCTCTGAATGGAAAAGGACAATGACGCAAGAAGTGAGAACTGAATCGACCGCAACTTGCGAGGGTCAGAAGGTCAAATGTGCTCAGTGCACGCGATTAAAGGAGTATGTGCACACGTGAACGATGCATCCAAAGGCGGGAAACATATCTGGGCCACGCCATTCATCTGTTGGTGTAAGGCCAAACGCGCAGTACAATTCCACGGTCCTCCAAAATTTCAAGGTTTTCGACTAGGCTGTTACCAATGCTTTATTGGCGACATGTTCCACAAATTCAGAGCGTCACCAATTGCAAATTGACGCATAAAAGCAGCACTTCGGGTGTTGAACTAGTCGAGTGTAGTACCCAAGTCACTGACTTACTGACGTCGAAATTTGCCAGTAAAGTATGATTCTAGGCGGGTCGCGAAGCATTGGCATTTGATGAATATACAACGCTTTTTCCCAAGCGTGTTATAAGCACATGTTTTTGCTTACTGAGGGCGCCGTATGTCTACAAACCCAGATCTAATTCGGACACAAAGCTATGTAAGACACAAAGGAATCATCGAAACATCCGAGCATGACAATGAAGCAGTAACTGAGGTGATGATGTTGTGGAACAATCATTTGTTTTCAGTCGCGCCAAGTAACGGTTGGCTTTGATGTGACGGGATGAGGTCATGGACTCGTACCAGTTCGCCAGCGTGCTTTCATCATCGGTTCTGATTGGCTGACGGTCGATCGGCCCTCTATGTGCAGCCCTTCCAGCAGGTCTCTTTGTGAGAAAGATACCATCGCATCTGCAGCGTTGTCATGCATGGGTGCAGCCAAAGGGAGGTCCCACGGGGTCATTTGCACTCGCGGATCATTAAGAACTACGGTAGGTTTGTTGGTATGACTTATTAAACGAAGTAATAGCAGTACGCGGACGTGAAAGCTGCTGCTTGCTATATATTTTTGTGGATGAGGGAAGAAGCACGCAAAGTACTTGCGAGATACATATCAAGCAATCTGATAAAACTTGAGCTCGCTGAATGTGTTCAGATCATTAGGTGAATCATAATTACAAATGCATCGCTATTGTTATAGTAAGTAAGCCCAGTCTACCTTACTCCTAAGATTATTGATGACAAGACGAGCTTTGGCGAAGACTTCAGAGATTTATGGCGTTTAGCAAACAAAACGGCCCATCAGTCCGCTGACCAAACAACAGCAGGCGAACTACGACATCACTGGTCAACAAAATTAAAATAAATATACGGGCTTCAATTCGAACCGGACGGCATGTGAGTGCCGAAAAGCCGGGTACTGCAGAAAATTCTGAGCAGAACAGAAGCCGAGGTAACAGAGCGAAACCTTCTGCGCCACTCGTTAAACGTCACGTCACGTCACGTCACGTCAAACGAGTACCCGATGACGATGGACTGAGATGGATGAACGACAGCAGCCTCGAATCGATGGACCCGTCCGCCGCTGTGAGAGGGCGGGTCGGCCTCTAGGCGCGGTGAACCAGAAATCCACAGACACCCAAATCAGAGTAATCTCATGTGCTTGCCGGTGAAGCCAGCTGGCGCCGGCGGCAGTCAGCTGGCGCTGGCGGGGGGGGGGACAGCTGGCGCCGGCAAGGGTCAGCTGGTGTCAGCGGGGGGGGGGGGGGGCGGGCAGCTGACGCCGGCGGGGGTCAGCTGGTGCCAGCGGGGAGGGACAGCTGGCGCCGGCGAGGGGGGCAGCTCGCGCCGGCGGCAGTCAGCTGGCGTCAGCAGGGGTCAGCTGGCGTCGGCGGGGGGGGGGGGGGGGCAGCTGACGCCGGAAGAGGGCAACTCCACCGGCGGGGCAGGGCGAGGGCGGGGGGGGGGGGGGGGGGGCGGCAGCTGGCGCTGGTGGAGAGCACTAAACTGACCGTCCATCATGCCGTTCTCAGCGGCGATGCTGCCGAGCGACGTGGAGCCGAAGAATGCACCGTCCTCGTCGCCGCTCTCGTCCTGCTCCTCCTTGATCTCGGGCAGCACCATCGTGTGCTGCCTCTCGGGCACCCTGCAGAGCGGATGGGGCTTCAGCACGAGCGGAAACGGCGCATTGGTGGTGAGCTCCGCTTCGGCGCGGTCTCGCGGCTGATGGGGTGGTGTCGCGTCCCGCTTGCTAGCCGCCCCGTGAAGCGGCTAGCAAGCGGCTAGCAAGCGGCTAGCAAGCTCCCGGTTGTCTGAGGCGGACGCGGCACCCCACACGGCTGCGGGGCTCCTGCAGACACCCAGCCCAAAACACCCGTCGTTAGAAGACTTTCATCAGAAGCGTATGGTCACGGCCGTGCTGCCAAATCGAAATTTCTCGAAGGTTTCGAGAGAGAGGTTCGGAGTATTTTAGTGTATGACATGACAGCATGACGCTTTTCAGTCTCCATTCATATTTTTTTCTACCACCTGTAACCCGATCTGGACAAAATCTTTGAGCGTCCAATTATATCGTTAAATATCACACACCATTGTGCGGCACGCTACATCACGTTGATTTTAACCTTCATAAATGAGTCGGGAAATTACGCGCCGATACAATTAAAGACACTCGTGCTCTTGTTTCCTCCCAGGATGTGTTTGCACAAGTACGCACGAGCTGCTGGACGACGGACTGAAGTCTTTCACTGATCCCTATGGTATGCGTCCATCCGAGGCCCGCTGTTTGCTGGCAGGGCCACATCGGGCCACTGACTGTCATGTGGCGAAGCGCCGCCGGACTCCACAGAGAGCCGCCGTCTCCCCCGGGCGGTGCTGCCAGACCACGCCGACCTTTGGGGACCGTTTGCCGACCGCCAACGAAAACAGCAAAGCGGCTTGACCTCGGCGCGACCCGCGTAATCCTCGGCAGCGGTCTTCCTCGCCCTCCGCGCGCGGCTCCGGTCCAGCAGTTCGCACCTCGGCCGCTGGGCGGCGCTGCGGTCGCAGGCCTCGTCCGTCACCTCCGACGAGCCGCTGCCGCCCGCCCTGGACCGTCGGCGGACCAGGCATCGGCGCGTGACGGACTAACGGCCCCCCCCCCCCCCCCCACTCTCGGCGGAGGCCGCGCCGCTGTTCGGATCCTGACGCGACTGGGTGGAGGGCACCCCGCGCGCTCCCGATATCTGGCAGCCGCGCGGCTCGGCATGAACAGCGCGCCACACATGCCTCCAATAGCTCGGATGACTGGATGCGGTACATTGTTCGGCAGCGAAAGCTTTCCGTATGTTTGATGTCGATACACCTAACCTGTCGAATTCAGTGCGGTTGACCAGCGAAGCTTACATGCCAATTAGTTATTGATTTCACCTCGACTCTGATGAGCATGTCGGCCCCTTCTGTTAAACGCTTCAAGACCGACACAGACACGCCATGACACAGACCGACACAGACACGTCGTGATGCGATGACACTAATCGCTCTTTTGCAAGACGGCCCCGTGGTTTGGTGTGCACACAAGGCATCCTTGTGTAACAGCCAACAAGCTGGTGCTTGCACCCACCGGACTACAGCATGTGGACGCAATGTTCGCTGGCCTCGCAGGCGAGCCTCGTCAGCTGCTATTTAAAAGCACCATAGAACCGCACCTCTGGCCCATTCATTTCGCTTTTATCGCCTTGCAGTTGACGGGCATCTCGGAGATTGGGTCCAGCTTATCAAAGATGTTCGCTTTGGTTGGCGGCGGGTAAAGTACAAAGGTCGCTGTGCCCGGATGTCATGGTGCATCGCAGTGATTCTACAGCCGTCAGTACCACGAGTGCAGAGTTATCAGAAATTGGATGTGGCAAAGGCACCAGAGCTCTTTTAATGAGGAAATAGCGAAGTCATGACTAGCTTGATGACGTTTAATGTGGCTGCTGCCAAACCTGCCAAACGGCATTCTCCACCCGTCCTCACCGCAGTTCGCTATAAGGTCTGCTAAAGAGCTGCAGCTCCATTTAGGAGCCAATCGAATTACAGCCCGGAGCTGGCTGTCGGCTTTGATGTAACGTGTGTGAAGATAGAACCTCCAAAACCTTGCAACAGCCCTTGAACGAATAAAGAGCAGCCGTTTTCTGTAACAGCGATGGATTCACAAGCTACAATGAGATCAGTCCATGGAGGCGCCCCTAAAGAGCCACAGCGTCGGTTAGGTGGGCATTAACCGAGCTTACAGTTCCACCATCACCCCGTGTTATCTTTGTGAGCCGCGGCTACGGAGCAGGAACAAAGGCCCTTTATCAGACAAACGGACTGCCACTCGCTTAGAAGCAGCCCGGAGCAAAGCAGAGCAGAGACACAAAGACAGCCCAGGGTGGGGCCAAGTCAGCGCGGCGAAGAAGTGACGTGGTGGAGATTGGTTTGGCCGGTCTCAGAGAGCTATGAATGTTTTAAATTAGTTTGTCTAAGCTTTGTCAGCCCAACATTCTCTAGATAACATCGAAATCACGAGCTCGAAACGCGTGTCTACCGTATAATCAAGGGTCTACCTATAAGAATCAGCTTGCCACTTTCTGCTAAAAATTGGTTTCATTGCGATGTTCTAAAAGCAGGTCGGAAGTTTCAAAAGCAGGTTTTCATGTCGGAAGGACGTGGGAAGACAGGGTTGCAGTCTCTCCCGGCCCCGCGGTGCGTTTTGTAAGAACGCTGCATGTGAAGGAGGCTTGAGCCACGTCCAAAGACCACAGCGGTGGCCCCAATGTGCTGGTAAAAACGCGCCTTCGGGCGCTTAGATCCACAGCTGTAAAAACGGAAATGGGTCGAATAGTGGCGTGCACGAAACAAGAACAGCGGAGCGCACCGCATTCTCGACACAAGCATGGGCTTCGAATTCCGGGCATGTCCTCATAGGGCATGTTCGTTCAGCGGGCCTCTTGTACCAACGCTCAGAGTCTGAGCGCTGGTACAAGAGGCAGACACGCCTAGCACGTGAAAACGTCTCTGAATTTCTGGAGAACGTGTTTACGTACGTGTTTATGCGTATGACAATACTCAGCTAGGGCGTGGGGAGCTGTGCGACATACCATCTGTTAATCATCCGTTGAGTGCCCGGTGGATTTTTGTGGTCATGCACGGGGTAATTTTCAAGTTTGTGTTTTATGGCTTATTTCCGTGTCTGTTATAACGTGCTTTCTTCCAACAGGCTTTTGGGCCCACAGGCTGAGCCGGTAGAGTGTGTCCGAATAAGAACATCTTCATATTCATCTACGATAAACAGATAAGGCAGAAACCATACGTTCAACTGAATTTACGCGCTTCGTGAGTTATGACATTGAAACAAGAGGGCTTGTTGTAAAAAAACATGTGATTCTAGGTTGTAGGCGCGGTGCATAGCAATGGGGGGTAGGTACTTACAATACCGCGGTCTCTGAATGCACGGTCTTTCCCACGGCGGCAGGAACACGCACCTAGCACCGACATGCCCCCCATTCTGGCCCTTTACATAGCCTCTTTGGACTCCTGGATTAGGATATAGTTCAGCATTAAACGATTGGGAAGAACTCGTATTTACGCCCTGACGACAAGAGGGCAAAGGTTGCCAGGATTCCACAAAAGTTGACAGCCTCAGCAACGTTGATAGATACGTCAACATCAGATCTTGAGAACCTCTACGTCAACCAAGTTTGCACTAAGTCCATCAAATGCACAAGATTTGAAAATGACCGATAATGCTCAAACACTTTTGCAGCTTACAAACATTTTGCACACTTAACTTCCCGGTGCACATGTTTTCATAGCACTGCATTTTAACAAGGGCTTAAATGTCGTATTAGCTGTGTTTTGCCGCCGTGTTGTAGTTTCGTATTGGTGTTACACAAACCCTTAAAAGGTTTAAGTTAACACATTTCTTGTCAGGGCTTGTAGGAAAAGATCACAATGCTGGGGCTACATGACAGATCCTGGTTGGCTTCTGCATGCAGCGTACAGCAAAATAAAATTGGCTGTGCAAAAGTGCACCATACCGAGACGACTGTAAAAAGCGCAGGACACAGCAAACACCACTAAGCTGTAGGTCAGTCCTGTGATGCGGTTTGTGATGCGGTTTGCCACGTCATAAAAGACGTCCAATCCCCATTTCGTCTCTGCCGCGCAACGGACCATGACGTCATAAGTGACGTCATACCTCTGGTGAGTCTCTGCCGGCAGCAGACCGTGACGACCCGCCTCTGCACGAGCACTCACTTCATGCTGTCGACTGATCCGCGGTACGTCGGGATCTTGTACTGGACGGACGCCTCTGTGTACGGCAGCGTCAGACCCGGGTCGTCGAAGTACATGTCCTTGACGAGCGGCGGCCGGCGCACGTTCAGGGAGTCGACGATCAGGTACGACACCTGGCGGCCGAGGCTCGTCAACGGCCGAAGACGAGTTAACGGCTTGACGAGCGGCGGCCGGCGCATGTTCAGGGAGTCGACGATCAGGTACGACACCTGGCGGCCGAGGCTCGTCAACGGCCGAAGACGAGTTAACGACTTGACGGGCGGCAGCCGGCGCACGTTCAGGGAGTCGACGATCAGGTACGCCACCTGGCGGCCAAGGCTCGTCAACGGCCGAAGACGAGTTAACGGCTGAACATTCCGGGGGGCACCTGGCGGCCGAGACTCGTCAACGGCCGAGGACGACTTAACGGCTTGACGAGCGGCGGCCGGCGCACGTCCAGGGAGTCGACGATCAGGTACGACACCTGGCGGACGAGGCTCGTCAACGACCGAAGACGAGTTAACGGCTGAACATTCCGTGGAGCACCTGGCGGTCGAGGCTCGTCAACGGCCGAAGACGAGTAAACGGCTGAACTTTCCGGGGAGCCCTTACTGAGGGCTGGCGGGGTAGACAAGACCAATGAAAAGCCTCGGGAAGGATTTGGGAAACGTCTGGGAAGGACTTGATCTGGACCAGCGAGGGGATCTGACTTCTTCCAGGTGTGTTTCCTCGCGTTCTGAGCACCTGAGCGCACTAGCCGATACAGCTGCTCTATCGAGGTGCGTACGGTGACCTTAAAACAAATGAAAAATATCGGGAAACAAAATATGGCACGCGATCTCATCAGCAAAATAACGTTAGAAATCCTTTAAAATGAATGTAATCTGCATGACGGAATATATATATACATATATATATATATATATATATATATATATATATATATATATATATATATATATATATATATATATATATTTTTTTTTGGGGGGGGGGGTACCAGAGCGTTCCCACCGTTGTAGAGCACGTATGAAAATAAAGTTCGTAAGAGCAGCTTTTCGACCCGAACAAGTCCTGAGCAGGTGAAATATTGCCACTTTTCGGCCTGGTCTTCGGCCGCAAACGGATGGACGGCATTTTCCGTCCGTATGTCCGATGTTGAAATGAAAGCTTCAGAATTGTAAACCCCTGAGGGAAAACTCTTGGCAAACGGAATAGCATCAAACGAATTACAGGATTGCATCACAGTTTTCGATGTGCTTGACTCCAAAAATGCTTTGCCTGAATGAGGGCCTCCACCTATGGTCCTTATGGCGTCTGAGGCGTCGACATTATCCGCTGCTGCTTCTGGCCGAAGCCTCCAGAGTGCCGCCGCCAGTGCCGCCAGTGCTGCCCCTCCGGAGCGCGTCGAGCCTCCCGACCTTGACGGCACCCTACTGGACAGTTCACACGGCCCCGACACACAAGGCGTCGCGCAGTTGGCCGCCGACGTGGCGCCGTGTTCGGCCGGCTTACACGGCGCGGCTGATCGTGACCACAGGCGTGTTCCGCGGAGGTTCGCACGGGGCTCTCAGCGCGCCGCCAGCGTCCGCGCCGCCCCCCCCCCCCCCCCCCCCCCTCCATCACGCCCACGGGGAGCGGAGGAGTGGGTGTGGGGGGGGGGCGTCGCGGTCGAGCCGGCGCAGCTCTGCCGAGGCCTGGCTCGCCGGACCGCCCGCTTCCTCCCCTCAGACAAAACCCGCCTGGAATGCAGCTGGAGACAGGAGGTGGGCCAGGTTTTAATTTAACGCCCGGCGAGGTCAGCCGGCGCGGAAAGGTCAGGGGTCACCGGCCACGCGCCGGACACCGTCGCCTATTTTGGTCTGCACACCGCGCGCATGAACAAGCCCGCCGGCGGCTGGCCGCGGGCGCCGCGTCAGCCGCCGTGACGTCACCGATCGCCGCCGTCTGGCGCGGGAGTTCCGTACGTGACTCAGCGGCCGCGGCTCGCGCCTGTTGTTGCAGATGCGCGAGCGGCGCGCCGCCGCGCCGCCGTTGCCAGATGAGAGGCGCCGCTCGAGGAACTGGGCTGCGTGGGGGCTGCACGTGCTGCCGCTGGCGGGCGCGGCCCCGCCAGCACGATACCATGACGCTAAAACTTCGCTGGAAAGCCGGCCGGGGCCGGCTCCTTTTAGAGCCAACTGGTCGGTGAAGAGAGAGCGCACTGGCACGGCAGGCAGATGCCAAAGATGACCGCCAGCTGGGTCATCAGGACAGCACGCTTCAAAGACTGGCCGCTCGCTGTCAGAGTCAGTGTATTTCAGGCGCGTTCAACTACGGCACCGATCTCTGGGGGTTTAAGACCGCGCGTCAGCCGCCTGAGCTGTCTCAAGTCCCAGGACCTGTCCTCAAATTAGTCCACCTGTTGTCACATGTCAGGTGACAGAGTCCCGCTGCGAGTGATCACAAATAGGTGGCGGCCCTTGGCCACGGGTTCGACCTTGAGCCCCACCACAAAGGCCGGGACATTCTGGTTTAGAGGACCTATCCCACGAGCAGCGTCGTCTGGCGCTGTGCGGGATTACAGAACGGCTTGTGGGATTATCATCCGGAAAATCATCTGCCAATAACTGAAGCATGAAATCCGACCCTAATATTATGCATCCTTAAAATGTCAGTGGCTCGCGACAACGCTTCGGTACGTTTGCCAATATCAAAGGGATAAATTTTAAGAATTCCAACAAACTCATGCACGCTCTAGCAACGCCACAGCCACCAGGAAGATAGGCCATATGAAGCTCAGTGGCATCATAAGATCAGAATAACGTTCGAGCCAGCCAGTGGGCTTACCTTCACGTGCCTGTCAATGATCCAGTTCAACTCAAAGTCTTCGTCGTCATCCCCGAATGGATTGATCAGCTGTTCTGCCACCTGGGAAATGATACATTGTTGTTATTATATCAGGCAGCCGCTTCATTATGTCGTGTTTATTGACTAAAAACCTTCGTAAGCAGGCTGTTATATCGTGTTAAAGAGCACTTTAAGAACAGGAGGCGACAGCCCTGCTCGCCAATATGCTGTGTCAAATGAATACATGCAGCCTTATTCACACCATTCCGTTACTTACTAGGCACAGATCTATTTCTAGAGACCCTTTATCAATTACGACAGATCCCACATTATTTTCGCCGTTTCTCTGCTGTTTCCGTCGCCTCTCCGCTCTTTGGTTTGCTTCTCCCATACCCCTCTGTCTCCTGCCCCTCTGTCTCCTGCCCAGCTTCCTCCCGCCCCTCTGTCTCCTGCCCACCTTCCTCCCGCCCCTCTGTCTCCTGTCCCTCTGTCTCCTGCACGCCGCTGGTCTCGCTCTGCCAGTGCGTGACCGCGATTCCCTCGCCCGAAATAGACGTGCGGTTAGCGCTGACGCCTCATCGGCTCAACTGACGCCGCCACAAGGACGCCGAGAACTCAACTATAGTACACCGGTGCAGCAGCGGCGTCAGCAGGGCGTCAGTGATGTCACTGGTGTACACCGCGGCGTCATGGGTGCATACTGTGGTCGTCGACCGCCGCCACAGGCTGTTGATTTTGGATTCGAACTCTGGACGCTGGCACGGCGCGGTGCGGCTGCGGTCGATGCGTTGCGTTGTTGACGTGGAGGGCCCTTACTGAGCTAAGCGGCTTGCTTAGTTAGCTTTAGGCGGCTTTACACACACTGAACCATCGCAGTGAACGCAGTTTTATGATGCCGGGCGCAGTCTAGGAGAGAAAATAAACACATTGGGGCGATTATTAACAGCAGAAAGAGACGCTCGTGGCCTCGAGTGACAACAAACTAACGGCACCGCGAACGCCTGCGTTCCATTTCCTCTTGATGCCGGTGAAAGCGCCAACTCTCTGGAGTTAGATCCAACAAGTCCCGCGGCGTGCATCGATCCAGGCCACGGATACAAAGTGACCGCAAAAATCGGCCAAAGGGACTCTCATGCGGCGTACTGTACGGCTCAGGGGCCAAAGCAAATGTTCTCGACGTTTCGTGACGACGATGACGTTATTGAGACGTCACCGGGCAGTTGTTTGGATTCATCTGGAGATAAAACAGGCTGCGGCCGTGCATTTAGCAGCCAGTCAGGGCACACACCTACTCAAGTTTGGCTGTGGCCACGGTCTGAGAATGCTGAGAACAGTTGGTGTGAAAGCCCCCGGAACAAGCAAGCTGAAGTGTTACTACTCAGGGCTGGCTGTGGCCACGGCTTGAGAATGCCGAGAACATTTAGTGTGACAGGTGCCGGAACGAGCAAGCTGAAGTGTTTAAATTACGTTAATTTGCATGGAAAGTGGCGTGGTAAATGCCACACCCACCAAATGCTGTCACTGCCAAGCTGTAGAACTGTTGGATGGTAACTGAAAAGTAAATCGATCGCATGCGTTTACCGTGATACAGTGCGCAGTGAGAGCGTTTTTATTTTTTGGCCTTGATTGTGAGGAGACGGAGGGTTGCACGGGAAAGTCTCCACCTGGTTTCAGACTTCGGGACAGTCAATCAGCGTGCTGTGAGGCAGCTGGCATTCAGTTAACATACGGCGAACGTAAACGAGCCTGACATTTCGAATGGTCCGCCTGCAAATTATGGGCCACACGGTATCCACAAGCCCAGCTTGCCAAAATGCATAATAAAAGAGCAGGTCTGTTTCGTGTATACTCACCGCGTCTACAGAGTCGAGGGACCCGTCACCAGCCCTAACACAGGCTTCCAAGCCCGCGGGCATAGCAAGCTCGACGTATGGCTCGCGAGTGTCACTCTCGTGTCGCGCGACACGAGTGAAGCATTCTTCGGTGAACGAACAACTCATCAGCGCGACAGTGTCAGGGGGCTCACGTCATCAGCACCGATAGTCGTGACCAGACCAGACCTGGCGCGCCTTCCGGACACGGACTGGCGCGGACCCGACGCGCATACGTCATGCCGTAAGTCACGCCGACTGTCACGCTGTCCACCACGTCTTCTGTCGCGCCGGCTGCCACGACTGTCATGTAGACTCTTAGGGCGACTGTCGCGGCTGTCACGCCGGATGCCATGCCGTCTGTTATGATAAATATGCCGTATGTCACGCAGACCGTCATGGCCGTCCGCCGACGACCGCGAACGTCACGCCGTTCGTCACGACTTTCGTGCTGTCTGTCACACCGTCCGTCACGTCGCTCACAGCAATGTCGCCCTGATAGCCCCTGGTGTTGTGGTCTCGACTATCGCCGGGGCGGACGGTGCGGCAGTGCTGGCCGGGACTGCGTGCCGTATGAGTGGATCAATTGATCTTTTAAAGAGCCGTAACTGTTTTAAAGATGCGTAAATCCTTGCGTTTGCTTTGGGCGCATTATTGGCATGTGACCGTAACCGACGCTAAGTTGTCGCTTTCAGTACGAATGGTTGTACTATAGATGCGCAACAGCAAAGATCGACGAACAATTTTTCTCATGTCACGTCTCAGTCATTACTTGATGTCTTCGTTTCACTGGTGCAGTCTGGTATAATGAAGGTCGGCGAGTTCCAGCCTAACAGATCGTTATGCCGAAAACTGGTAGCCATTTTGTCCACATCATCGTGGACAAATGTTCGGCATGTTTACCTGAGATCGTGCTCGATAGCAATGCCAGCGATTCTCAGCAGCCTCACTCGGCGTGACATTGTGTTTGAGAACCAAGATCAAAGATTTGCTCAGCTGAAAAAAGCACGGGTCTTCTAATGCCATTGACTGCTTTGTCGTTCTGTTTCTCAGTACCTGCCTATAAGTCGACTGGATGTCAATTCTGGTGATCTTGCACCGATTGTGACATCACGAGAGTGGCTTCAAAACGCCGGAACACCAGGAGGAGCCTTTGTCAAGTTCACAAAACACCTGACTGAGTGCAAACAACCGGGGATGCACAAACGTACAACTAGGTCCGACTAGGCTGACACCGAGAGCAACAACAGCAATAGTTAATTGCCTCCGATGTGTCTAATTGATCCGGTGGGTTGCTTACCGACATAAATTACGTCACAACGGTTGGCACCTGGCCCGACGTTACCTGAGGTACTAGTTACCCATCAATTTCGTATAGTTGTGTGCAGTAATTTACCGAACTCCCATTACAGAAACAGGCCTAAGAAGAAAGCACGCCCAAACATGAGCAAACCAGCCAGTATAAAAATTGTCGAGCATGGGTCACTAAGCCTTCGCGAGTCTTCATGGGACCGACAAAGGCGAGGAATGCATCGCATAAAGCGAACATGTGTGTAAGGCATCATCGTGTTGGAATCCAGAGTTTTGAAATTGCGATGGTCTCTGCGTGAATCAAATGTTAGGACTCTGCACATTATGGACGGAGCTGCAGGTAAAAATATACGAAAGTCCCCCAGGTTCTATGTGATGGATTCGCGGTGCTCAGCCACCATGAATGTGATGCCATCAAATCTCGATATCAACAAACAGGGCTGCCAGAATAACCTTGCTTGTGAAGTTAAAAAGCTGGTGCAGGAATAAAAAAGGCTTGGTAACGTGATAACTGACCGCTAAATGTCACCCTTTAATCTCATGCATACCACATGAAGTTGAGCCGAAGGTTGGCAGGCACTTTAAACCAATCCGACTGGCCTTTCTGATCTGTTGTTGATCGCTCGGCCCCTGGAGACCCAATAGTAAGAGCTGAATATGTCTGCGTCGCCCTTGAGCTGTTCTAGCAGGCTTATGACCAGTGTCCCAGTGCTGAATACATTCACCACCGCATTGGTGCGTTCGCCTGGAATTAATGGGTAGGTGGAGCTACATTCCGAACCGAACCTAACTAGCGGCAAATATAAGCAAAGCATTGCACGGCATGGCGTCGAACTGCGCCATGGGGTTCCGCAGTTCGCGAATATTGGATAGGTCGGATAATTTCAGCTTGATGAACCGATCAAGATAATGCATCTATCCGCAATGATGGCATACATCATGTGATTCTTGCTACCATCTCGAATGGAATGCATGCTTGAGCTAGTAAAGTGAAACTCATCGGCGGTTTACGTTTTCATCACTTCAGCATCACACGCTGCTGCGATCGCGTGCTTTCCACGCTTTGTTGCACTCGTTTGCATTACACGCTGCTGCGATCGCGTGCTTTCCGCGCTTTATTGTACTCCTTTGCATTCACACGCTGCTGCGATCGCGTGCTTTCCACGCTTTGTTGTACTCCTTTGCATTATACGCTGCTGCGATCGCGTGCTTTCCACGCTTTTTTTGTACTCCTTTGCATTACACGCTGCTGCGAACACATGCTTTCCACGCTTTAGTTGTGCTCCTTTGCATTACACGCTGCTGGGAGCGCATGCTTTCCACGCTTTGTTGTGCCCCTTTGCCTTACACGCTGCTGGGAGCGCATGCTTTCCACGCTTTGTCGTGCTCCTTCCGCGCAAACCTACAATCACGCAATGCACGTTGAAATCGGGGGTAGTTAACAGCTGAATAGGACACCACCCACCAGGAGTCATTTTTGAAGGAAGTTGAGTAGCGTGCCATTTTAAAGCAATGTAAACTTGACCGTTGTTCCCTGTTTCCGTAGCTAATTTCCAGGCGTAGCTACGAGCGTCACACCAGTGAAGCCAGCTGGAGGTCCGGATGACGGCATGTCCACAGTACACCCACCTTGAGCAGACCCATGTAGAAGAGGAACTGGAGAACGGTGAAGAGCGGAATGTAGAGATCCAGCTGACCGGCGTCCGACGCGTGCAGCGTCTGGCCCGCCTCCTGCTGCCTGCCCACCAGACACGCCACGAAAAACGCGTACGTGGCGATGGTGACAACCTGCGGTGCACACGCGCGACTGGTGACAGTCTGTGGTGTCACACGTGCGACTGGGGACAGCCTGAACTTTACTCCTGTTAGCTGTGACAAATTGGCGTGCACACGCACAGCTGGCGGCAGTGTGCGGTTGTGATCACATGGTGCACCACCACCACACCCACATGGTGACGCGCGCATGCAGCGGGTGAGAAGTTCAAAGGACATCCCCCACTTGCCATCAATGTGCGGCACTGTACCATAAGTGTGATATGTGATGCATGCATACCATCAGCGACAAACTGTGGAGCACGCGCGCCATCAGCGAAAAATCGTAGATATGAGCAATTGGTGAACTATGACACACTCCCCCTATTGAGCCCAATTTGCGGTACATGGGTGTAATCCATGGACATGTTGTTAGTGGAACGTGCACAATTGTGACAGTTTTTGGTGGGTGCAGCGCTTGGACTCGGGGACAGCCTGCAGCGCACTGGGCACGCGTGTAACACATTCGCAGACGGATTTGAGTCTCCAGCACACACATGTGCGTGGCTTGTAATGATCATCACACACGAAGCAATTGATCATCACACACGAAGCAAACTGAAAGATCGCAATCGCAAGCAGAAGCACGCCGTTGCCACGGCAACCTGATGTGGTGACACCAGTGGGCAGAACTCAGAGGAAATGGCTGCTCGTATGCATGGGTAGAAGGTTGTGTCCTTTAGAGAGAAGGACTCAGGGGCACAGTTTCGCCATATAAGCTTGGGGCGGCCGACTGAGGAGGGGAATGGCTAACCCTACTCTCAAAATGCGGAAAAACATGTTCGTCACGGATTCGGTCCCCTTTTCAAAGCTGGGCAGGGATCCACGCAGCAAAATAGAAAAATATACACACGGAATGGCATCAAGCAAAGAAGAGCTCCAACAGTAGAAGGGAAGTTCAACATGACGAAGGGGCGACCATGGACGTCAGACTCCCGCAGGCCATATCCGAGTTAGCAAATGGACGGATAGACTACACCGCTAGCCACGTCAAGACGAGCTCAGTCAGCAGACAGCGGCGCGCCACATTGGAACGCGCCGCGTTAGTCGCGCGCCCGGCCATGGAGGACGGGGGCAGCTGGGCCCGTCGGTGAGCTGCGGCAGCTGCTCGACACGTCTGGGACAAACAGCGGCAGTGCCGGCGTCTAGCAGCGGCGGCGGCGGCGGAGACAGGCGTGGCCGACCAGGGCCGACCGCGTTTGTTCGGGGCATCCGGCCAGGCACCGGTGACAGCGGACTGGCCCGACCCGGCCGAGGGCGCCGCGGTCGAGCGGCGGCGGCGGCGCGCGGCGCGGCGCGGCGCGCGTGGCGCGGCGCGGCGGCGGCTGCGCGGGACTGCTCTGGTGGACCGCTGGGGAAGGGAGGGGGCGGAGGCGCGCGGCGCGCTGCAGGGAAAGGGGCGCAGGCGGCGGGCGTGCATCTCACCTGAGTGTAGACCAGGGGGATGCTGACCCAGTCGTAGCTCCACAGCAATCCACAGTTGGCTCGGTACTCGTTGAAGGTCTGGAACGGTCGTGCGCGCCGACTTACACACCGTTCCGACACGCTCGATAGACTGGTGTTTACGTACAGTTGTCTGCCACGTCACTGGCGGTCAGACACGCTAGCGAGGCGTGCAGCAACGTCAGCAAAGGTAGCGGCTGGCTATTGATCACCCAGTCTCACACCGCCAGGCCGCCCACCTGGTTGACATCGCATCTGTGATGTCGCTTCAAACATTAAGGCTTGTAAGGTCTGCAGACATAACAGTTACATGTGCATCAGCGCGGAATGCGACACTGAGGACTGTTGCAAGTGCTCCAGGTCGACGGCCCTTGTTTGAGAGAGCGATGGATTTGTGAAATATGCGGTAAGTGCGGGGCATCTGCAATGCGCGCACCGAAAAAACGGAAGTTGCGAAGGCTAAAGTTAATAGGAAATGACCAGACTCTACACATGTGTGCAAGTGAGCGATGAAAACGTTCTTTGGGAACATATGCGGTAAACAAGCATTGAGCAATGCTTGATGTGCACGGGGAAGTTAACAGAAATGTGAAACAGGGCAGTTAAGCGAACAGAAGGTCCAGTGCGTTCAGCAGGTGTGCACTCATTGCAACAACTGCACAGTGCAAGCCTGCTGATCGCTGATGCAACAAGGCGGCAACAACGCAGTGAGGCAGGGCGAAACGAGGGGTGTGAAATGACACATAGACAGGTATGGGGGAGTACCGTCATAGACGTGGAGGCGTGAAAACAGGGAGGTTGGGAGAGGTTAACGGATCAGAGCCTCCTAACAGAGAGGGATGGTGGGAGAGGTTAACAGAACAGAGCGAGCTCTCCCGGCATGGCGTAGGGTGCAGAGTCGGGACATAGGAGCTCGACCTGGAATGGCACATGTCCCACTTGACTCGGGACCGACTCCACATGACCCCACGACAAGGCTGTTGACCTGAGACGGGGGTGACAACACGGACAGGTCGCTAATTTGACACAATAGGGATTGCCGATTCGATGCAGGTGACATCACCGCCTCAGCACAAAAGGGTGCCGATTCAAAACAGCAGTGACTGCTGAATCGGCACATCCTGCTGAATCGGCACAAAAGAGGCTGCCAACCAGATTCACAACAGGCGTGACTCGACACAGAAGGCTGCCGATTCATACGGGAAAAATGCCCCTTACTCAACACAGGAACAACTACTGGTCCAACACAAGCAGATGCTGCCTGACCGACACAAAAAAGGGCCGATTCGACGCAGGATATGCTGCCGTCTAGCACACTACGGGCTGCAGACTCGACACAGCCGGGGCGAAATATTTCAAAACAGACGGACTGTCGGCTGGATACAGTGGAAGCCGCGGACTTAACAAGGCGCGACTCACACCTCAACGATGAGCTTCAGGCCCTGCGAGTCGATCACGTGGTTGGTGATGCGCGCCTCTCTCAGCAAGCTGACGAACCAGCAGCAGGGGATCCAGTAGGTGTTGAACTCCTTCCTGGGTACGCTGCTGAACTCCTCCAGCTCCGTGGCCGTCATGAAACCTGCAGCATTGTCACCGCCGTGTTGTAATGGTGGCGAACGGGCGTCAGTGCTCCGCCCGCGACAGGTCGGAGACATTCATCAGAGAAACGGAGGGAAAAAGGAAGGGAGGGAAAGGAAGATAAAGTACAGAGAGAGATAGAGGAGAAGAGATAGAGATAGAGAGAGAGACGAGAGAGAGAGAGAGAGAGAGAGAGAGAGAGCGAGATAGCGAGAGAGAGAGCGATATCTATATATATTATATATATATATATCTATATAAATATATCTATCTATATATATACATCATACTCCCTATACACACGCATTCAGCAAAGCAAATCACGTAAACTGCATGTCACTAAATGACCCATTTGCCCGCGCATTTTTTGACGTTATGCTCATTGTATGCGCGATTTGTCTACGAGTTGCTCCAAAGGAGTAATCAAAGGTTTGTTGCTCCAACAAATCAGCAAAGGTGGATGCGGTTGTCTGTTAATGGTGATGTGTGGTCATGAATAGGCACTGATTCCAGAATGTTGAGTTATTCCTGTGTCGTGTGCTGGTGCTGGATTTCAATACGCTGTGTGAGCATTTGGCGCGTACGACGAGTACAATGGTGGTGTTGCAGGCGATCTCCTAATGTCCCCTCCAAGCAAAGGTGCATTTGCGAGCCGTGGGGGACATAGAGGTGCAATGACGCCAATGTAACATCCAAAGCGAAGCATGAAAGCTTCGTTAGGAAAATATATTTTGCACAGCACATCTGTGCCCGTTCAACAGCTCTGTCGTTATAGGGTATTTTTCAGAAAGAGATGCATAAGTTTTGCGATCATTGCAATATATCTGCAATACAAAGCATGCTAACTGCTTAACCTCTATCACGTTTTTTGACACCATAGTTTTAAATACTTTTTCGCTCGAACATGCGCAGACTATCACATGTGCCATATGCAGAAATCCACAGATTTACGGTAGGAACTAGCTTATGTTGTTGTCGGACTGGCTTTAGGCTGTTTGGTTGTAGTTCAAACGATTATCAAGCTTTCATTTCGTTGTCGACTTCGCCATTCGTGCTCCCATTTTTCGCCTTTATTTGTTTGACGTTGTTTAGTTGAGGCACGGTAATAGCTCAAAGCTCGGACATATGCACGAAGCCCACGACAAAGCGCTCCAACAACGCCGTTGTTTTTAAATCGTTTCGGACCACTCACTGCGGGGAGCTCATTTGCTTCTACTCTTGAACAGGTCTTTCGATGTGCGGGTGTTACAAAACACCATCTGCGGGCCCTTACGATGTGCACAAGAAAGGGAGTTTGTAGCCCTGGCGAAACCCCCGCAATGAGGCAGACAAAATGGTTTAACTCCTTTGCGTCCATCAGGAGGTCATGCAATATCTGAAGTCTGAAAGCTGAAAGCTTGCAAGTCTGATCGTGAGGTTGCTAAGAAAGTGCTGAATATGAAGTGAGGCAAAGTGGACTAGTATATGCGTTAAAAATGAGCCGTGTGCAAGCTGACAAAACAATGGTTCGTTTATTTGGTAACGAAGGTTGCAGGTTTCGTTCTGTTTGCTACATTGGCGTTTTTACAACGTCGCTGTCCCGACGGCTTACAAAGCACCCCACGGACGGGGCACCCAAGAACTCACATGCAAACGCTGCTATAGCAATCGCCTCACGCGGCAAATTTTCACACAGCATATTGAGATTCTAGCATCAGCACACGATGCAAGAAAACTCAAAAAGCTGGAAACTTTCGCTCGTTCATGACTACATCACCAGCACTAAACACACAAAAGAATAAAGCTTTTTAGCTATCTCTTTGGAGCAGCTTACGTAACCCAAATCACACATAAAATGAACATGACAAAAAAAAAACGCTAAGGGTCGTTAGAAGCATGCAGTGTTTGTGATTTGCTGTGGCGGAATGTGTAGGACACAGTGCGTGAATGTTTATGATGGATCTCGATTTGGCAACACAATGATATGTTTTGCCGAGCCAAAACAGTAGGAGTGTTTTACCCAAGAGAAGTCATTGTTGGTTTCTGCTTCGATGCTTTGTCGTTATGAATGTAAGTTTCGTCAGTTGCGGACATAAGCTGGAGAACCAGAGATTGGAAGACTGGCAAATTTAATAGACAGCTGGTTGGTTATTTATTGAGTTTAAGGACGTGTCAACTGCACTGGCTATTTGCACCCTAACAGAAAGCTATCCAAAGCACAAATACCCTACTTTTTCATGGTTGATATCTAAGCGAATAACTTCAGCGCATATAAACTCCTTGGTCATATGTCCGAGGCTTCGTATGTACGCCTGTCGTTTTCGATACGTCAGTACAAAATGTTACCCCTTTGGTCATTTCAGCAATCATTTCCTTGGTAATTAAACAATTACACACAGTATATCAGAATGCGTTACTTTATTTTACGAAGTTAACGCTTACGACATTGAAGGTAATAAAGCGCATGCGCTAATTTGAGGTGTAATGCTGTACGTTTGAAAAAGTGTTCTTTTTCACACATCAAGCCAATGCTTCATCCGTGTTGGTGGTTTGTACTTTGGAGGGGGGGGGGCTGACGTCATGCAGTGGCTTAATTGCGCAAGTTCGAAGATGAGCACTCTGGCCGCTGTGCAATGTTTCAAGTGTGGCGAGCGTCTATGGTCGGTGATGCGTGCTTATGGTAGTGTTCGTGACCAACACTTTCCTGGCGAGTGTTTAGAATGAATGAATGAGGATGTCTACCTCATCTTCTCTGTGTTTTGGATGAGGTGATTTTTCATTATCGGCGAAGATATTTGTGCCTTTTGTAGCATAACATCGTTGTTTGCATAGGATACTAGATATAATATATATAATAAATATATATATATATATCTACATATATTATATATATATATATATATATATATATATATATATACATCTATATATATAGTGTGGGTGTATATAATTGGAAACTACTGGCTGATGTACAAATCTTGCGAAGGCGACCGTATACAGATTTGTTTTTGCCATTCCATATTACGTGGAGACTTACACCACACGTATGGGTGAATGCACTGTGCGATGACTGGTGGCAGCGCGCCGAACGTGACGGCGATCCGTCATCTATGACTAATGATGTGACAGCCTGTCACGCCTGTGTCACGGTCGACTGGGGCCTCAGAACCATTAGCGATCCCTCACAAAGATCGCTAGCAGTGGGGAAGCTCCAGCTAGATCATAACATCGGTCGTCTTGGAGGAAATAATCCAAATTGAGCAACAATGGGAATCGCTGCTGCTGACTGTCGTGACTGGCCGGAAGCCACTGAACACGTGATGGGAAAACGTGCACGCACAGACAAAAACTGACGCTGCGAAGTGTGAGTCCCTGAACCGGCTTTATATTTTGTAAAGTTAACGAAGCAATTTGATCACGACTCAATTCTGGCCTGTTGTGAAAGTGATGAGAAAATGTTGAAAATTTGCAGCAAGTCAGCATTGCAGCGAGCAGTCGCGCCGATCTACCAGCCATCTTTTCTCGTGAGAAAGTCAGGGTCTCGGAGGTAAAAAAATCGTCCACTTCCCATTCGATTTTTCCCGCGCCCACTTCCTGTTCAGAGCTCAACTTAAACCTGTCGAAGAGTTAGATTTAGGCTTAGGCGATAACTGCTAAACCCAGTCAGAATTTATACCATACCCAACAACATTTTTATCACTTTGCTATATCATACTCAATGTAGTCTGATACCTAAGAAATAATTATCGGGACCAGAGCTGCCTCGGTGCGCGCGCATTTGTAAGGCTCATGAACGTGGCTTCGCGCTGCTTCCGCCTTGCTGAAAAATCGAGTGCTCTGTTGCGCACTTCCAGCGCGTGCGTGTTGCATTTTTATACTTTGGCAATGCACATTTTACGTCCGAGCTTATATCCCGCATCCCTCGACCACTGCCGCAGTTTAAACATGGCATAGCATGGAAGGGTCCGAGTCATGACTGACGGGTGAGAGCAGAAGAAAACAGGAGCCGCGCGGGTCCGAGGCGATGGCTGATGCCGGTCTCTGTAAGTTCATGTCGAATTAGGGTTTGTGCCGCATGCACTGATGTGAAAGTTTGTTTCATAATGATGTACAGGATGCACAGCCAAAGGGGCGCTTTCGGCCCACATTTTCATTGGATGTTGGCGCCGCGTAGGGCCCCTGACGGAAGGAAACGAAGGCTCGAAATCGGCAGTGCAGACATCTCCAAACGAATCGGATCCTGCGATCTTTGTGAGTTTCTCATGAGGTCCTCACTGATTTCCGGTACACACGCCATCGTCACAAAATCCCGACAAACTTTCCTGATAATAGGTGTACAGTACCGATATACCGGAATGCAAATACAGCTCTTTGGTAGCCCATCATTCTGCCCGCACCTTGATCCTGGCTACACCGGCCGCACGTCGGCCTCTTGCAATCGGCTTCGCTCACCAGGCGCTTCGGTGTCACTGGGCTGACCTCCGTACTACTGCAATCGACCTCATCTCGCCGTAATCGATGCCTACTCTTCTAAATTGGAACCCCAGCCCGGCACTGCATCAGCAGACCTGAATCTACCCAACCGCAGTATACTTTGCCTCGTCAGTCCAGTTATGTGTCCCCTTACTTGCGCGTTGATGTATTTATGTCGAAGGATGATTTCCAAAGTGCTGTACGCATCAGTTCTAAACCTTTGGACTACCAAGTTACGCGTATGTTCCTGGTCCCGAGCCAAGTCGACAGGCGAGGAATTGCCGAAGGTAGCAGACAGATGTCTACCATGTGTGAGAACAGTCACACAAGCTGGTCAGACATCGTTTAAGTAAAAGAAGGCATAACGGACATGCTATTTGGACAGCGCTTGGCTGCGTGCTTTATTGGCTGTATTGATAGGCCGCCTTTTACCATGTCGACTCCTCATAATCTTACTTGACTATGCCTCGCCACGCCGACTCTGCCTCTTACCGTATCCGTCTTTGATTCACCGCATGTGACTCTTACCCATGCAACGTGACTTACCCATACCACGTGACTCTGACCCATAGCACGTGACTGTTACCCATAGCACGTGACTCTTATCCATAGCACGTGACTCTTACCCATATCACTTGACTCTCTCTCGCCAGGCTAAATTCCGCCTAATCAAGGAAAATCTGCCGCATCAGGATATTTTCATGCAAACAAGTTTCGATTCTCGTGACCATGAAGAGCTTTGGCTCAGTGGTTTCGGCTCTGTCTCACCAGAACCGGTCTTAGCTCATCGAGCTCAAGGCTACTGCACCATAGCAACTTCCATCTCACCGCACCCGGCCCTATCTCGCCGTATTCGCCTCTAACTCACTGCGCTCAGCTTGTCCGCCGCGCCACACCCTGCTCGACCCTCCCGACCCCACCTCCCCCACTCGACGCCTTCTCACCTCACTCGACGCCTTCTCACCTCACTCGACCGGTCTACCGGGCACCAAACCCTACCTCAGCGCACTCGTCCCCATCTCACCGCGCTGCGACCCCCGCTCACCGGACTCGACGAGGTGCTCGAGCGTGGGCCAGACGTCGCTTAACGGCTGACGAGATGGAGGCGCAGCAGCAGGATGAGCGACAGGTTGCAGGTACCGCACCATTGTCCGCCGGATCATCCGGGACGTTCTCGTCCACCACCCGCGCACGCTACAGGCGCGACTCGCGTGCAGGATCACTGCCGGTGGCGGGTCAGCCAGGTCAGTGCGGGGTCACGCGAGTGGGGCGGTCCGGGGTCCACTGCAGTCAGCACGGGTCACGTGAGGGCGGTCCCGGAGTCATTACAGGTCAGTGCGGGTCACCTGAGGTGCAGTCCCGGCGTCACCGCAGGTCAGTGGCGAGTTGTGTGAGGGCAGTCTTCGGGGTCACGGTAAGCTCAGTGCGGTTCACGTGGGGGGTAGTCCGGGTTGCAGCAGCGATGTCACTAGGAGGAGAAGAAGCAGATGTGTCCCCAATAATCTTGAAGTTAGACATTACGGCATGGTGTAACATAAATGAAAATAATTCACGTAAATAGCCTTTATTTCTCGGCGGCCTGCGACACTGTCTGCGCATGATTGCTGTCACAGGGCCATGTGCACGAGTTATAAATTCATTTCGAGCGGAACTGAGGTGATTGGCGATTATTTTGAGATCGTATCTGGTGATCGTGTGACACCGAGATCACGCCAGTCAGCTTCTTTGAACAGCATGTCCGTATTAAAAACGTCTGGAAGTGGTGTGGTATAATCACGGCAAACGCAGTAGCCTTAGGTCGCATAAGATCCTTTCAAAGACATTAACAGACGACGTGGTCATGCATGGTGACGTGTCAGACAAAACCGCCGGAGCTCAATAGAGTCACACTGTCACCACAAGTGGCATGCAGTCAATTAGGCTACATTTCCAGGAAGCAATTTCCAAGTAAAGAGCTGAGTTGCAACTGCAGATTACGTGGCAGGTTAAGGTGTTGTGATGGTATTACAACGTTGGCGCATGGTTCCCATGCACAGACAAAAAAAATCCAGGGATGAAAAGGGTACGTTGAATCAAACTGGACAAAGTAGTGGTGCAATATATTTTGTTATAAAGCAACATTTATCCTAAAAATGGAGGCCAGCATCTGGATTTTCAGAGAAGGGGTAGTCAGCCGGAAATTTTAATCACTTAGAGCTTCCGAGCGTGTCCTGAAAGCTAGGGTGAAGGCATCAGTACGTTTTACTCAAACACGGGCGTGTTGCGTAATGTATAAGGGCGGGAGCCGACCACGTAATTACTACGGGACCGAGGTGGGTTGGTTGTCTCTGATGGGCATCAGGAGGAAAGGCGCCCATTTAGCCCTAAGTAACAGCAGAGAGACTAACGGTGAAACATTCAGAAGAACAAATCATCAGGGGTCAATTAACCCGTAACCGGCCCCCGTACACGGGAGGCGAATCTTGGGTTAAGGTGCAGCAAAGGTCCCAGTCCTTGCAGAGAGAAATGGCCCGGAGTTTAGGTTCCAGCAAAAGGGCCCGATCTGCGAGAGAAGTCCATCAAGTTTTACGTTTGGCAAAGGGGCCTCAGTCTGCAAAAAGTTAGGGGTGTACGAAGAGTGACAACGAGTCGTCAGATTATTTGAGGTTTTGACCAATTTTTCTAAGGTATTCTTACAACATGTTTTGAGCTAATTGCTTCCTAAATCAAAGCAGCTATGCTCATGTGGTCACAACCGTTGGAAAGTTAGCTTAAGAGGCTGCCTCTCGGTGCAACCGTGTGCGTCATCAATAGGATCAACATGGCTAGAAAGCTATTCATTTCCGGAAGTGCTCCGTGCATAGTGCGATAGCTTGGGTTCATAGATTATGGCGCCTTACAAATCATTTAAGTCGACGCAGCATGCGTTGTAGAGATCTTTACTAGCTTAAAAAAAGCAAATAAGAATTTTCGCTTTATGGGTGGTTATATAGACTGCTTCACAACTCGATGGCTGGGGCTTGTGTAAGTCTGACAGCCCCCACCCCCGAACGAAATCACGAACACGCCGCGAGTCTTATCAGCGATGTCAAAACGTGTCATCGAGTCATGTCAGGCCGTGTCGGGTGTCAACGTCAGCGCTGCGCCAGCGGTCAGCGCACCGCTACTCTACCACCGTTTAAACCCACCGGATCCCAGGCCCCGCGACACCAGGGCTTCCCTCCGCCCCCGCACGCTGAGGTCACCAGCAGCACAGTTCCGCAGGGCTGCGTCGTGTCACCCGCCCGCGACCCGTCCCCGGGCGCCACCGATATCGACGGCGTCTCGGAATGTCGCGCCCCTCCGCCGCGACGGGCGTCGACGGACGGCCGCCGGCGCGGCTCACTTGTCCGGCCACGGGATGGCCATGTACTGCTGCCACCAGCGCTGCGCCACGAAGCTGACGTAGAAGCCGAGCACGAACGACAGCGGGATCAGGTTGATGAAGGTGTTGCAGTACGCCGGAGAAGGTCGAAGGTCCTGACGGCGGACGGGTGCAGACGGGTCAGCAGGGCGAACCAATTTGATACACCCATTTTAAACGGAATTGTTTGGGTGCATTTGGCTTGTGCTTGGCAGCGCATTGTAGGCTAAAACACAGCGAGCTAGTTACAGGCAGCTGGGCGGGCACTGCAGATCGGTGTCTGCTGGCCTCGTGACCTTAAGGTTTTGGGGTCGGGATGGTCGTGACCTACGCATCTGCGACTAACTGCAACTCGTTTTCGGCGTTGCCTGCCCACAGTTGGCGTGGGAGGCATTGCCGCTGAAAGTCCTATATTGGAGTACGATGCGGTGGCATACGCTGCAAAACAACATACACCGTGATTAGCGGACATCTAGGTGGGGAGCGTAATGGGTTTTTGCTCTTAACTAAAAAGGGCATGTCAGGCACCACATAGGGGTGAGGCAAAAGTGGTATTGATGGTGAAAACATGGCAACGCAAAAGCAATTTTGTAATGGCATTGACCACCAGCAAATTTGCGTTTTCACTAATTGGCATTCATGGTATGTACCTGTGCGATAGTCGTAGAGCGGTGGATGTATTGCGAATTAATTTTTAACTTTTGAAACCAACTGTCTTGGACCAGAAAATGTTTTATGATTACGTTTTACATGCTGTGTTTATCTGCATATTTCAGCGATGTTTGTGCGATCTTGTACAATTTTGAATCAACGAGGAGCAAGAGGCTACTGCTAAATTTGTATATCATTCGGAACCATAACTCGTCATTTGTAGCAGCTTGGTATTTGAAGATATTACATTTGATATTGTTTGAAAGCACTGTTTGAAAGCACATATCTCTATGATCAGATCGGCATAAAGTTAGCATTATTTATCCAACAAAAGCGCGAGCAGAGTACTTGTGCAGTATTTCACCATTGCCTTTCATGTAATCGAAATGTTCAGATCACCCAGCACCGTGCGACCTATAGTCACCTTCATTCACTTACTCCAAGAGGATCTCAAGCCTCATGAGAGTGCAATCACATGTCTGCCGAATTACGTCTGTTATCATGGCTGTAGAATTTGAGGTCGTCCAATTATCGAATACAAACATGAAATAATTTTTGCTAGTGACGTTATTATTCACTTCAGCGTAACTGCGGGTCAGTTTGGTAGTCAAAGCAGTGCTGTGTAACCCGTTCATGATATCAGGTGTCCTCAGAACATTGCCAGCTTACG